AAACGGCAGAACCTAGAGTGAGAGGTGATGTGGGTAGATTTTCTTTCAGACCAGGGCTCTTTGATCCCTCTCCAAGAACCAGCAAGTTCCAATCCAAAAAAAAAAAAAAAAAAATATGTTTTTGAGTCTAAAAACTTTCCTTTCTTTACAGGAATTAGCTGGGGGGTGGGTGTGGAGTAAATGGTTCTTTTGTAAATGAAGGCCTAGAGAATTCCTTGTGCTTTCTTTCTTCAGAAATCTGGACCCATGGGATAATCAAGAAATGACTTAATGGAAAAGCCAGTGAGTCAGAGATAGAGGGTAGGCCTTGAATCTTGGCATGGGAAGTAGGGTCATATCGTGAGAATAAACTAAATTTAGCATGGCATTGTGAATTGATAAGCCAAAGTATTCAGAACTCAAGTGTAATGCCAAGACTATTAAATAAGATGTGACGAAACTCTTGAATCTTTTCCTTCCTCCTGGAGATAATCGAAGCCATCTGTTCCACCATTTTTAAAGTTGGTTCAAAATAATTATATTCAGGTCTTACCTAAAATTGTACTTTATTTAAGAAAAATTTCAATGTAACAACATGCTATTGTTGTGTCACTCTATTTATTTAATGGCATTTCATTTAATAAGCATTTTGCCAGCCATGTCTATATGTGTAAGCTGAATGCTAGGTGAATAGCACTATAAAACGCTTTTTTAGGAGAAAGAAAAATTAATGTAAAGAGAAAATAAGTGCTATTTCTTAAAATTGTAAAGAAAGATAAAATAAGAGAAGGCATTTGTGATTTAAGATACATTTAATTGGGTTCAGGGCCGGCATCTAAGGTGCTTCAGTATTTATATTTAATAACTTTCAGGCTTATAGCATTTCAGGACTCAGTATATACTGTTATTATTATCTTGGCTGCAAGCAGAATAACCACCTTAAGAAAACAAGGAAGTGGCACATTTTAAATTTTAATCCAGCAAAAGTAGTATATCAACAAGCTTCAGGTGGGTTGAATTTGTCTGATAAACTCATTTGTACTTATACCCTATGCCAATGGAGCAGAAGGTGCTCAGATTTGAAAAAAGGGAGGAACTCCAGGCATTTCGATTGTCATATATTTACTCCTCACCATTTAAGCCTCCTAAACCAAAGAGAGGGTAGTCATGTCATTTTTTTTTTTTTCAAATGGAGGAACTGAGCTAGATAACGGCTGAGGTGAGCCAAGGTACAAAGCAGAACTGTACTTTTCCCCACGGGGTAGCTCAGTTATGGACAGCTCAAGGTAAAAACAGGATCCATAAACGTGGAAGCAAGAAAGACTGAGCAGAGATAGTGAAGAATTAGTGAAAGAAAACTCTAGGGCAGGCAAGATGGTAGAGTGAAAGAAAGGGTGACTTCTCAGTGGAACATGGGAGCTGAATAATCATGGACACCCTAAAATTCTATGAGGCTTGCTTTTCTTTTATGTAAAAGAGAATAACAACACCTTCGTTACAGACTGGTTTTGAAGATGAGGTGAAGCAATGAGTGTAAAACTTGAAGCGCTACTTTGCACACAGCAGGTCCTTTCAATCCATGTTCCTTTCTTCTATTTTCTTCCCTTCCTCTGCCTCACAATTTTGCCCAGGGGTGGTCTTAATTCTAATAGAAGGGATAGGAAATCAAAGTTAGCTAAGACAAACCTCAGGAGGAAAAGGAGAAAGATAACTACAATCATTCTTTTTAATTATAGATATGACTCTGTGGGGGAGGAAGAAACTTTCATCTACTCTTTTAGGTTCTTTTGGCTGGTCTAATAAATGGACATATAAGGCAGATCGGCAAGAGAATATAGCCAAATTTACATATGCACGTGTGGGAATCCTACACACATGAGAGAGTTAGAGACTCCACATACCTGAGAGGTTCTGAGGCAGAAAGGTGAAATGAAGTCTGTGTGACATTTTGAGCCAAGGAGTGAGTTAAGGCACCAGGGCTTCAGAGGAGAGAACGTCATTCACAGGAAGATTAGAAGAGTCAATGTTCAGTAATCAGAAGTTTGCCCTGACGTGTAGATAGGTCATAGAAAGTTATTTCTGTAATAACTCTTAGTCATGGCAAGGCCCCCAATTTCAACTCTTTAAGGGAGAGGTAAAAGTTTCTCTTGAACTCAGAGAGTCTTACTTGCCTTGACCTTGAAATAATCTACATGCCAAAATGGCACTTCTTGGGGAGGCCTGTTCTGAACCCCTTCAACTCAAAATCCAGTCTCTATGTTATGTCGAAAGTTGATAGGACTTTTCAGGCTTGACTACTCAAATCTGATTTTTTGGAACTTCCTAATATTGGCAAAAAGAATGTGTGAAATTCTACTCTGACGTTTTTCATAGTGGTGGTTTCAAGTGTTTCCCAATAACTGAAACTTGTAAGTTACTCTTTTCTCAGCACATGATTTACAAAAGGATTGAAACCATCTGGGTGCATGTTCTTAAATCCCCACATTGTCAAGCCACAGTCTCCTGTTGACCAGCCTCTTTCCTTTCTCCTTTCCAATGTCAATCCTTTTAGTCCTAATAGTCTCAGCTCTTTGAAAGAAGGGCCACCTTATTCATTTTCACAGCTCCAGTAGGCCGGGTATAGTGCCATGGATATTATTTGCACTTAGCAAAAGTTGACTAAGTGCAAATAGAACGATGCTGTCATTGGGTTACAAAAGCAAAAGAGGAATAAAAGATGTCTTTAGATTTTATTTCAACCAGGTTGGTTAACAGAATGGAGACTCCCTTAAACATAAATGGAAAAAACAAGAGAAACATATTCAAAATATATTAAGTGTATACCATAAAGTATTCTAAGTAAGATACTATACAGATACCAGAGGAATATGAGACAGTTGCTAACCAAATTTAGGTGACACTGTAGTCTCCCTCCTGTCACTTCCAGAAGACGGTGTGATTAACTGCAGGTGTTTACCATCATTGATGTTACGAAATAAAATGTTTAGCATGTAGTAAGTTTTCAATAAGTTGATTAATGCTCGATATTTTTGCCTATATTTTCGAACAGAAGTCTTTCAGGTAATCGAATGGAAAATAAAAGTATAAAGGTTGAGGCTTCTTGTGAAAATTAGCAAGAGGGCCTTTCTGCTGTGGTCACAGAAATGCACAGCATGGATACCATCCTGTAAACCGGCTCCACTGGCCAAGCAGTGATGGAAACAAATTTGCTTTCTCTTGGAGGAGACAGAGTACCTGTTGGCTCACTGTAACCTTTTAGATTTCCTGGAGAATTGAATCTACAACAGGAGGAAGGGGAGGCGGTAGAAAGACCCCAGAATAAAAGTCAGAGATGAAGATCCTCATAAACATTAGGGTTCTAATGATAGCCTAGCCAGTCACAACGTTAAGGCCAAGGACAGTCAAGCAGCAGTAATTCAGTTATGGAGCACTGACTAGGAAGAGCCAGGCACATGCAAAGTACTTCCAGCTGTTTTTGCAACTCCAGGGTATGGGATCAGGGGACTGTGAGGTGGAGAGTGAGTACAGATGGTTCTCACCTTCTACAGTAGGGAAGACAGACAGAAATAACTCACAGTGGAAAAATGTGATAGGGTGGAAAGTAGAGAAAGTGTTAAAAGTATGGTCAAGGGAGAGATTACAGAAAAGAGTTAGGGATAGTTGCTAGAAGGAAGGAGGATTTGACCTGGGCCTTGAGAGGTAGCTAGAGTTTTAGTATTTAGGAAAGCGAGGAAAATTTCTCAGGCAGAACTGAATGTCATAAACGAAGTTGTGAAAGGGCTGAATGTGAGGGACACACTGGTTCAGGCTTTACTGTATACGGAACTGTACCAGCCATGGGAGTTGTACCATGAAGAGAAATCGTGGAGGGCTTCTCATCACAGGTCCGAGATTTCCAGCTTTATCGCAAAGGCAACTATTAAGAATTTTGAAAGTAGGATAGGTTTTTGCTGTAGAGAGGTGGCAACAGGGAGGATGGGCTGGAAAGGTCAAAGGTCACAGGTACTGCGTCAGTTCTGAAGTTACAATAGTTCAGAGAGCTGTTGAAATATAATCTTGCATAAAGGAAAAAAAACACAGTTGTCTTGGAATAGCCTTGGTTAGAATGGTTATTATTATTTTTTATTTATCAACTAACCGGGGTAAGTCACTTACCGGGAGTCTCATTATATGTTCTCTAAAATGCTGCTGACAATTACAAGTTTGGTGAGGAGAGTAAATAAACATGTGTGAAATCCCCCGTGGATGGTGATTACTCAGGAAAAGGTATTTTAAAAGTTTTTTCCTTATTCTTTCTAAATACAGCCCGCGGGGCCGGTACCACTTCTATTTTGGGCCTCGGCGGAGTTCTGCGAGCTGGTTGC